AACCTAATGACACGCAGAAAGGATAAATTTTCCCCCCGTGAAAAGGACAAAGAATGAAAAAATAAACACATATTGTTTCCCAGCAAATAAAACTTGAATTGTGGGTTGTAGAAGTAGGGATAAGTTATGTAAGCTTTAGTTTAGTTCCTGGAAAAATAATAGAGGAAGTAATCGCTAAAACATGTTTAAAGTCAGACAATGGCAGTGGCAGAGTGAGGAAGCAAGAATGCAGCCATAAAGCATGGCTAATATTTGTCTGGGGCATAAATAATCCATCTAGTTGAACATTGCATAGCCCTAAACTCGAACACTCCTCCATTTCTCAGCCCGTTTACACAAAGGAGAAACCCCAGGTGGTACAGGGGCAGCAAAAACATCCCAAGTGCACACAGGAGCACGTGTTCCCCATTGCTGGGAGGAGGCAGCAGGGGGGTGCTCTTCCTACCACAGCCCAGAGCATTATTAACACCACCAAATCAGCAGCTCCACTATCCCTGGTGCCTTGCACCCATTTGTTCTGGAGCACATCACCCCTCAACCCCTGCTCGGTCTGGCAGCCCTCACATTTACCAGGGTTTTTCTCCCAGCCTATCTCTGCCCCCCCACACCAGGGCTTTAAAAGCCCCATGGGCTCCATGATCCCTGCAGTTCCTACCTGGTAATGGGTATTTTAGAGCCCATCCCGGTGGCTGGACCCTGCCTTGGCTGCCTGGTTTGGTCACTTCAGCACACAGAAAATCCCACCTCTTGGCAGGCACAGGGGGAGGTGTGCAGAGGAAAGAGAGGGGCAATACTCCCCCACACTTGTGGTTCCCCAGGGAAGAGCAGCAGGGAGCTCCTTACAGAGGGAATTCCAAATGGGTCCCATGCCCTGCTGTTGGTGGCTGGGATAGGGGATGCATGTGAGGACTTGCTGCCAACCACTGTAGTCTGGGCAGACACTGGCACAAGGCACCAAAAGCCTAATCCAAGGTAGCCCCTGCCCCAGAACTGCTAGCCCACCACCACCATGGCTGGGCTTCCAGTTATTTAGGATGCTCTGTGCCTCAGCCACCCTCCAGACTGATCCCAAACTCTCAGCATTCCCAGGTTAGGTTAAGCAAGACCCCCAGTCTTGCACAGCCCTGGGGTGGTTGATACCAGATATACTTACCTCCTCATATAAACAGCCTTTCACTCCCTGCTGCTCCCACTCCCTGCCCCCTGCCACTCCCCGAGGAATGGGAAGGACTTCGGGCAGGACATGGAGCTCTTGAGAGGGCAAGGGCTTATCTCCCTTTCCCTTGGGCACCTGTGGTTTCATGGCCCAGGTGCCAGTCAGCTCTTTCAGTTCACACATTCAGCTTCCAACCAGGTGTAACTCCTTTGCAGCTCCTCTGCTTCCTCTCTCAGGGGAGCAGAAGACAAAGGAGTTATTTCCTCTGAGATTTTGTTCTTTTCCATCTGGGAATCCCATACAGAAAAGCATCGTGGTCCTATCATTTACCCTGCAGCTCATTTGCTGTGGAGCCCATTTATTTAGGTCTGTGATCCCTAAAAACCCTGAGCCCTGTGGGGGTGCTCAGCCACAGCCCCCTGCAGCTCCCCCCTCTTTTTGAAGCTGACTGTGCCCTGCTGCTCCTGCCCAGACAGGCAAATTCCACCATGGGGTGGCCTTGTCCCCTGGCACAAGTCACTGCTGACCAAATGAGGATTTCCCTCACCTCAAACCCCAGAGCTTTTGCTATGCAACAAACCTTTAAACTCAAACCTTAAGACAAGAGAGGCTGATGCTCATGTGAACCCCTGTGTGTGTGCTGGGTGTAGGGACACGTGGGCAGGAGGCAGCAGCCAGGTTTGTGAGTGCTTTAATTGCCCTCAGGAATTGCTTGGTGTGGAGCTGGCACTGGCTTTGTAACCCACGTTCCAGAGGGAACCCAGCACACGTGATGTTGATGCTCTGCCTGCAAGTTGTTCAGCTCCTCTTCTCCTGCACTGCTTCGGCCCCCTCCTGTCCCACTTTGTCTATTCTATCCTACTAATTTTTAACCAAAATTATCAGAGGGTGAGCTGTGAATTGGTCTGAACCCTGGCAAGCCTTGCAAAAGCTAACAGGAAAGTGTGGGACAGGCAAGCAGGAGGATGAAGGGGCTCAAGCCCTCCTGGCACGAGGGGGAGGAGGGCTGCAGAGCCAGGCTGTATGTGGGCAGCACAGTGCTGCCTGCCTGCCTGTGCCTGGCTTGATGCCACCTGTGCCAGGTGTGATTGGATATGGTTGGGGGGGCAGCAGGAAGGGAGGGGATATGAGGAAAGGGCTGGGGTGACATGATGAAATAGGATGTGAGGGGACAGGAGAGGACAGGATGGGATGGAAGATGGAGAATGGGCTGCTGGATAGGATAGGGGACAGGATGGGATGTGAGGAGATAGGATGGGAAGGAAAGGGTGCTCAGATGGATATCTGCAGCCCTTGGACTGCTCCTGGCCACCTCTCCCTGGCCATGCACCATCATCCTTTAGCACAGGGAGGCTGTCACCTGGGATGGCTGCACTGGCAGGGGGACGGGGCCAGCAAGAGGGCCAGGTGGGAAATGGGGGACAGCCCTCACTCCCCCTCAGTATTTGGGCAAGTTTAAAAATTACCAAGCACAGAAGAGGAGCAGGATCCAAAGGAGAAGGGTGAATCAGCTTGTCAAACGACTCTGGTGGCGTCAGCTCAGGATTATTAGTGTTTATATGCAGAGGGAGCTCTCCTGCACCAAGGCTGCTCCCTGCATAGAAGCATCTTCCCTCCTCCTCCTCCTCCTCCTTCTCCTTCTGCTCCTCCATGCCAAAAGGGAAAATGATGTAAGGTTGTTTTTTTTTTTTTTTGCATGAAACATTTATTTATTTATTTATTTATTTATTTATTATGTTTTCTAGCCAGCTTCTCAAATCATCCATCTCATCCTGGGCACAGAGAGTAAAGCTGAGACACAGCACAGCCCTGGCCTGGTGCAAACTCCACTAGGCTGGTTGAAGAGCACATTCAGGGCCAGGGCTGTGCCAGTGCAGCACACAGGGAATCTTTCCCCTGGGAGAACTGCTCAGGACACCATAATAAATAAAAAAAAAACAAACACCAGGTATCTAAATTGCAGCCAAGATCCTCTGGGCAAGGAGAGGGGAGGTTGTGTCACAAGCCAGGGCATGCTTCCTTGCTTCTCCATCAGGACCCACTGTTCAGAAATTTAGGACATGCAGCCCAGCTGGAGGTCCAAGATTTGGGCTGTTGGGTTTTTTTCAGATGCTGAAGATCTCTGGCAGGGTGGCTGCTTGCTACTAAGGAAGATGTGGGGTCCAACTCCTCTCCCAGGAGCCTGGGAACTTCTGCCTTGCCCTGGCTGAAGAGTGGGAGAGCTGGGAGCCTGGGATGTGGGCAGACCCCATTGCCCTCCCAACTCTTCTCTTGGCTCTGCATCCTCCTGCTTTCTCTCCCTATGGCCAGGCAGGTGTTTATCCCAGGCAAGAAAACAGCCTTGCAAAATCCTCACCGTCCATGAAAAACGGAAAGCTGGGCTGAGCAGGGATGCTGCCTCCTGCAGCCAGCTCTGGCTCTGGGCATTACTGGAGTGGTCGAGCATCAAAACCCCTGCCAGATATTGAAGGGTTGTCTCAGACCCCTGGATTTGTGTCAATGTCCTTGGGGGTGGTGAGGGCTGGATAAAGCCATGGAAGGCAGGCTGTGAGAGCTGCTGGTTCCCAACATCCAAGGAGTTTTCTTTGCAGCTCCAGAGCCCACTGCTACTAAATGCCCAAAGCTGGGGAACCCAAGGGACTTCCAAAGACCATCAGACTGTTTTAAAAATACTTTATTCTTTAGAAAATACAGCGTTCAGTACAGTGTGCTCTGCTCCCCCCAGCTTCAACCCCCTGACTCCGCCGAGGTCAAGGCAACATCGGCACGTTCACCCCACAGCTGGAAAGCAGAGGGCAGGTTTCACCGACCCCCTTTCCATCCTCCCAGGGAGGAAGGCGGCTCTCAAGCCCTCACTGGAACCCAGCAGCAAGGTGCTCTCCCCCAGGCCCCCAGCACAGCCCAAATCACAGTGCCAAGCTCGGCCTGTGGAGCCCTTGGTGGCTGGGGACGTCTGTGGGGGGCACACAGGGGCTGTCATGCTTCCCCACATAAGGATTTGGGGTAGCCCATGTGATTATTAAGACATGGGGCTGCCCCAGCCCAGAGAGCCAGCTGAAAACCCGGGGGGTAACAGTGGGGGCTGGGGAACAGGGGGACCAGGGCTCAGGAGCCCCTCAGCTCCCATCCTAAACAGAGATGGGGCTGAGTCAGGGCTGTAACAGATCCTTCTGAGGGGAAAAGCCTTACTGGGGCGGTTCAAAAAGGGGATGCAAACATCACCCAAAGGCAGAGTGACCTTTCTACAGATCCAGGCTGAGCTTGGGACTCAGTGGGGAACTTCCACCTCCCGCTGCCTGGCTCTGTGCAGGGAGAAACTCCCACCCCGCCGGAAGCAAAGCCCACCCTACAGGAAGGGGTCCTGCCCACACCCCGAGGGGGTGCAGGATCACTCCAGGCCTGGGGCAGGGGGGCTGTACACACCAAGAGCAGGACAGGGGAACAAAGTCTGGGGGAGCAGGGAAATAAGCCTTTTCTCTCTTCAAACAGGAATCCCCAACGCCACCTCCTTCCCTTTGCATAGAGCAGCTTTCAGGTGAGCGTGCCCTTCAGTCCCCCAGGGACTGAAGTCCCCAAGGAGAGCAGCGGCTGTGACCCCGCGGGGACAGAGGCAAGGCTGGGGACGTGGCCCTGCTGCTCCCGCCCTCCCCGGGCAGCCCCAGGGCTCGCACGAGGACGCGGGGAAAGGAAACACCGACAGCCCTGAACCCTCCCCATCGCTCTGCCCCCAGGTGCAACAAGCCATCCTGATGTTTAAAAAAGGAATGAAATAGGAAAAAAAAAAAAAAAGGAAAGGAAAAAAAAAAGGCTGAGATGGAGGGAAAGCTCCCCAGGTCAGCCCCAGGGCTCGCACGAGGACGCGGGGAAAGGAAACACCGACAGCCCTGAACCCTCCCCATCGCTCTGCCCCCAGGTGCAACAAGCCATCCTGATGTTTAAAAAAGGAATGAAATAGGAAAAAAAAAAAAAGGGAGGGAAAAAAAAAAAAGGCTGAGATGGAGGGAAAGCTCCCCAGGTCAGCGCAGAGGAAGGTGGGCAGCGCCGCGGGGATGCTGTCCGTTCACCGCCCGGCCCTGCGGGATCTAACTGTCCTCGCCGTTCTCGCCCGGCCCCTTGATCAGCCGCTTCTGTCCCCGCTTGCCCACGGGCCCCTTGGGCTTGGCGAAGGCCTGCTTGAAGGCGTGCTGCTTGGGGTGCACCTCCTCGTACAGGAACTCCGCCGTCAGCTCCGCTCCGTCGTCGATCTCGATCTGCACCCGCAGTGGCAAAGGGAATTAGCAGCTCCCTCGGGTTTTGAGACGCGCCTTTGGGGCACACGACTCGCCCCCAAGCCCTCCAGAGGGGCTGGAGAAACGCTGCAGCACAGTCCCTTGCTGATGCCCAGCACGGGTCTCTGCTCCCTCATCTCTGGGTGGGCTCGCACTTACCTTCTTGGCTATCTCCAGGCAAAATTCCTGCTCCACAGTGTCCAGCAACCGGCTCTTGCAGCTGGAGTAGAGCATGCGCTCCTTGATGCTGCACTTGTACCCAGGCATGGAGTAGATAAAGACTGCGAGAAGAGAGCAGGGCTTGGGGTGCTGCCCAGGCCTATGGCCAGGGTACACCAGCTGCATCCTACCCTGGTCACATCTTTTCCAGCCCTGAGAATCCCAGTTTATTCAGTGACAGAAGGTGAGCCATCCCATCCATCACCCCTCCCAAATCTCCCCCGTTATGCCTGTCATGCACTGGCCACCAAACCGCCCCCACAAATCCTCTGTGGCAGCACTCAAGGTCCCCTGCTGCACCATCCCTATCCCCATCCTTGCTTGCTCCGCATGTGAGCAATGGTCCAGGGAAAACAGGGACCCTCCCAGCCATCCCCAGTGCCAAGGCTCTCACCGACAGACTCCAGGTAGTCTCCCTCATGTGAGTGCTTGTACAGGAAGAAATGGTAGCGAGCTGAGTCCTGGGGGATCCTCTTGGGCAGGTCAGAAATCTCTGTGGGGCTTGTGTGCACCAGGTCGATGGTCTCCCGCTCCAGATCCAGCTTCTGATGGACAGAGGGACGGGGGAGCAAACAGGAGTGAGAGATGGTAGCAAGAGCGAGGGGAGTGGGGCACAGAGGAGCCATGTGAGGGACCTACCAGCTGGATGTAGTTGATTTTCTTCTGCTTGAGTGCCTGGATGGCTTGCTGGGCATCCAGCTGCAGGGGGAAGGCCAGGCCCTGCAGTGTCTGGTGCTTGCTTTCCACACTGATCTCTGTCTTCACCTGGGGATGGAAACCACCTCGAGTGTCAGGGCACAGTGGCAAAGGGTGGGGAAGGGAGAGAAAGGAAAACCAGCCAGTGCTGCAGCTAAAAGCTTCTCATCCAAGGAGCTTCCTGACACCCAGCTCACAGGGACTACAGCATTAAACTGCCAAAAGTCAGCCAGGCTGAGGATGGTGATGCTTGTCACTGTAGCACTGCTCTGGGAGATCACCTGGGCCCAGCCATGCACCCCTGCACCCCACACTGCACTCTCAGCAAAGACCAGCTCAAAACCAACGTTTCCCAGCGAGTCCCTGACAGGGATACTGCGACCAGTGCTGGCACATTTCCATCTCCAATCATCTCCAACTGCTACCCGTGTGACAGGGGGAGCCCTGAAATGACAGCGCTGAAATGACCAGTTGCACAGGTCCCCACCAGCAGGGAGGACAACCCACCCTCCTCAGTGAGTTTAACTGCAGCACACAGGAATTCCCTACAACACTGGAGCTGGGGAACTGGAGATCCACAGTTGGGAAAGATCCCAGACGCTGTTTTCCCCACAACCCCTGAGGCTGCTGCCTGTAACCCCTAGTCCAGGAGATCAAACCCCACTTCAAAGAGGGAAGAGAAAGAGATTGCAGAGACATGGCATCGCCCCGGGTGCCTCCATCCAGTCACAACGGGGGTCCCTCACGGGGACTGGAGGGGAAGGGGGGTCAGGGCGCGGCGGGCACACCATACCTCCTCGGGGTCGGGGTACTCTACCAGCGATGGGCAGCAGCAACAGCCCCCCACCATCTGCCACAGAATACAGGGAGATGGCGTCACCCCGATGGCGGAGGAGCCCTTCCCACCTCAAGACCCCCTCCCAGGGAAACAGCCCAGCAGCTCTAACCCAGGTGCTCTGCAGCGAGCGTGGGTCCCTTTCCTTTGGGATCTGTTTCAGAGATTATGGATAGAGAGTCCAACCTTTAAGGCTTTTTCTTTCTTCATTGCCCTCCCCCTGACAGAGAGAAGGAAGAAAAGTCAAGGCATGCCAAGAGAAATGCAGGAGTTTGAGCTGACATCTCAAAACCACTCGGCAGCACCGAAGTGGGTCTCTTTACAGGGCTGCCCTTTGTTACAGGAGCCTCACATGGCACCCACACCCCTGGGGAACGACAGGCTCGGGTGCCCAGAGCAGAGCATGCAGAAAAACAATGCCAGGAGAAGGAAAACCGGGCATCAAGCAGGCAGAGCAGCCTACCATCTCGGTGCTCGAGTCTTGGGAACAGGAATCCTGCGAGCGTGGGGAGAGGAGACACACTGTCAACAGCACCCTGCGCAGGGATGGGGGGGTGTCTCGTGTGAAACAAGAAGGGGTGGGGGACACACGGACATCCCGGGAGGATGAAGCTGTACCACGTCCCTGCTGGAGGCCAGGGAAGGCCAGTCCTGGCAATGTGGGCAGGGAAAGCAGCAAAATATGACACAGGAGATGTCAGAGCTGGGGAGGAGTGGGAGGGAGACCCCCAGCTCCGAGCCCTGCATGCAGTGTCTCTGCCAATGTCTCTGTGCAGAGCCTGTCCCTGCCCCATATCCTGCTGGCTCCCCAGCAAGGGTGGCCCCAGCCCAGGGTTTGGAGGAGTTCCAGCATTTTCAGCAATAGATTTTGGGCTACGCCAAAGGTTTAGGAGGAAAAAAACGCCCAAAGCTCTATCAACACCAAGCACCCCGGAGGATGAGCAGGGTGTGAATGTGCAGCTCTCAGGAAAGGGAAATAATTGCTTAGATGGGCACAAAGTCCAGCTGACCTCCAGCTCTGCTGTCCTACCATTCCCTGGGATGCCATGGCACCAGCAAGGGTGAAAGGGAAAGCACACAGGGATTCAGGATGCACACAAGCTTGCCTGGTCCCACCCTGTGGAGAGGTGCAGCGCAAGGACATCACCACTGCCAACACCCCCAGACCCTCAGCTTTCTCTCCTGTAAACGTAAGGAGACTGGGAGGATTATAGCAGGACTGGAGAGAACTCAAGCTCCAACACAAAGCACACTGAGGTCCAAAAACACCACGAGATGGAACCTTGTCCTAGCAACATCAATTTCCCCATACCCCTCTGTATTTTCTACTCCTTCCCTTTTCAAAAACACAAAAAACTGGCTCCCTGAAACACTCCCCAGGGCACAGCCCAAGAGCCAAGCATGGGACTGCTGAGCATATGCCACGTCCTGGCTGCCCAGCCTTGCTGGCAGCAGGCTTGCCTGCGGGGTCATTTTATATCCTTTAGGTTAGATTTTCCCCACCTCCTTCCTCACTCCTAGCATGGTGCTGACCTTGGTTAATGAGCACTTCTCTGTCTTATGGTGAAATCCTCATGGGAGGTCTCTGGCGAAGCCTCTGCTCTACCCACCCTCCAACACAGCCAATAATGACACCCCCTTCCACACTGTGATGGCCCCCCCACCTTTAGTTCCTTTTAATTCTCCTGCCCCCTCCCCCAGCCCCATCAGTGGGATATGCCTGGCTCCCCGCTGTGTTTCTGAACCTGCTACACCTCTAGAAAGACTCCCCACTCGTGGGTGTTAAGCTCAATGCAAAATTCAAAGCTGTTTCTTAGCCCACGGTCTGCTGACAACTCTCAGCTCAGCAAAGCTCGCATTTTCCAGCTATTTAAAAATATATATAGATATAAAGCAAATGGCAAATTTCCCTAAGCTCCCAAGCAGCTGTCAAGAAAGAGAGTATTTCACGATATCACCTCTGTCTATGCAGCCCTCAAACCACAGGGAAAGCTTGGCTCATCCAGCCTAAAACCTGCTTTCCCAAAGGCTGGGCACCTCCCTGGGGGACATGCAGCCCTGAGTCCTTCCTTGCTCAGGGTCAAAGGCCGCTGTGCCTGTCCTGAAGCTGCTGCCCTGCAGCCATGGCCTGCCCCTTCCTGCTTTGCTGCTGAACTTCCCCTCCCACCCCCTCTCTGCACTTTCCCAGTGGCTGAGGAGGATCCCAGAGAGTTCCTGCCTGACAAGAAGCACAGCCATGTTCAGGGTGAAGACTGCCAACCTGTCCAGGGTCTCAGAAGGTTGTGAATCAACAATGCAAAAGAAGAGGGGAGCAGAGCCTCCAGCAGCAGCTCCAGGCAAGGGGCACAGCAAAGCACTTGTGAGCTGGTGGCTTTTAAAGAAACCATGTCCCTTGTGTCGCTTCCAAAATCCTGACAGACAGGTTGAACACAGGGGGATGTGCAGGGTCCTGGACTGCTAGTGGGGCTTGGGCAGACACACAGTGTGAGGTCAGAGCTGAGGTCTGGGATTGCCCTGGGCCCAAGTCCCAGGTCACTGCTGGCCCTGAACACTCGCTCCCACACGCTGGATCTGCTCCCCCAAAGGCAACTGCAACATGTAAGCACGTGGAAGGACCCTGTGCACAAGGTGCACACGTGTGCAGGGACCCTGCACGCTGCAGGCAAGGCTGGAGGCATCGCTGTACCGAGCGGGGGCTGCAGGTTGTGAGCTGCTCCCATACAACCCCCTCGATCACAGCCCTCTGCTTTGCAGGGCTCCAGAAACTCGCTCCAAGCTGCATTTACTGAGAGTCCCGGGTTTCCCAATCCGGGGACATCAGTGTGGCACCGAGCACCCAAACCACAGCTCGCACCACCTCCTGCTCCATGTGCAGGGCCGAGCGGGCGCAACACCAACACGGCGACCCTTCACCCGGCATCGGCCACTTCCCACCTTTAAATCCACAGGCAAAAACACATCCATCTTCATCTCTTTCTAAATGTTGGTGATTGCTCCCCATGGTCCAGTCTGACACCGGAGACCATGTACCTTTAAAATAACCCCAAACAAACTAAATGGCAGCAGCATCTCCACCCAAGAGCTGTGTCTCACAAAGGCGAGGGAGGGAAGGAGAACATGGCAGGTCACCCAGAAAATGAGCACCACAAGCACTACTTACCTGGGCCACATGACTGTAAGACACAGCCCAACACCCCCCCAAAACTACTTAATCCTGCAGCACTGGCCAGACAAGGTGATGGCACAGACATCCCGAGGTGCCAAATGAGCTGCAGAACCACCATCAGCACTTCTCTCTTCTCCAAGCATGGGAATCACCTTGGATCCCCCAGCACAAATCCTGCCCAACCCCTCCAGGCTGGGAGCTGGGATAACTCCACTGAGACCCATGGTGGGGACCACCCCTTAGTGGCATCTCCCAGACATCCCTCAACTTCACCACCCCCAGACCTGCTTTGGCAGGTGGAAACCTCCTGCCTCATCGTTGCCATTAATTAGTACTATCAGGCTGATTGGCTTCGTGTCTCCCAGGCATTTCCTGATCCACCCGTGAGCCTCAAAGCCTCAGTGCAGGTGGAAGAGATGGATACTACTCTAGAGAGGAAGGCTTTCCATCAAAGGGAAATCCCCTCGTCCCCCAAAAAATACTGCTTCCAGGTGGTCTTCCACCCAGTGATCCAACCCCCCTCCCTGCCTCGGTGTTTCACTCAGAGGTTGGCATGAATGCCGTGAATGTCAGCAGGGAGATGACGGTGTTACAGCCTTTTCTGCCCCCAGCCCCACCCCGTGACACTTCCACATCCTCTCCAGCATGTAAGCCCCCAAATTTTGGCTAAGATCTGTATTTCTTGGGACAGTATCCCTCATATTTATAGACAAAGAGGAAGAGCATGGGAGAGGATGCTGCTGCAGCCCTAAGATAAGCCTGAATTCTTACTGCTTCCCCCACGACTTCAAACTCAGCGCTGGCTTTTGCCCCAACACTCAAAGGTTAGAGACTGCTGCCTGTTTTCAGCCCTAAACCATCTTCTGACTGCCAGCAAAATGCAGTCCTGAGCTCATGTTCAAGGAAAAAAAAAAGTGTAAATTCCTCTTTATGCCACCACAGTTTGACTGTGAGGAGGCTTGGTCACCTCGGCAAGGGCGAGAACGGGTTAAACTGCAGAGGTACAAGGGAGCAAAGTAAAAATGAGCCATCCCTTCTAGCTGAATGCTCATTCCCTGCATCCCACATCCCTTCGTGCTCAGAGGGTCTCAAGTTCCTCTCCTGGGGCTGCTGGACACCCACCTCGTTGATGCGGATCTGCTGGAGCTCCTGCTCGGCTGCGGTCAGCGGGGCCGGGGCAGAGCTGGAGGACACGTGCTTTTGGTAACCACTCAGGGACACGTCCTCCTGCAGACACAGGGACAGGGAGACACATCAGGGGTGGTTATCAGGATGCACCCCTAGCCTTGAGCTAAGTCTGAGCAACCCAGTGGGTCTTGGGCTCCCTCCTTACCAGGAGGATCAACCTGAGTAGTGCTCTTGGATGGCTCCAAGCAAATCCCACATTTGATTTTAAACAGTGTCCATGACTGCTTGTGCCTGTTCAGACCACCCTGCTCTTCTCCAGGCACCTGTGGCTGTGGCAGTGTGACTCTTCCAGCTGATTAACGGAGCTCATGAGCATGGAAGTAAGAAGAAAAGGCAGAACCCACAGCCCGGGAGCAGCAGAGCGGGGCCCCAGAGCAGAGGGGGAATCTTCTGGAGCAGAGTAGGGATCTCCCTGGATCCCACCAGCACCAGAAGCCCCAGCAGGACTGATGCCCAGGAGGCCCTAGCTGTGCAGCTCCTTCTGCCCATAGAAGAGAAGGAGAAACCTCCATCCAAGGAGGAGGGATAACCCTGGCACACAGGCAGCTGCTGGAGTGACACTGCCACCACCTGGTGCTTCTCCCACTCAGTGTAAAGCTCCACATCTTGGAGTCTTCCTCCCACCTCTTCCACGGTCTCTATTACAGACCACAGCCATGTAGGCAGGAGAAGGTGGCAGTGGCCACCCAGGAGACTAAAGCAGCGTGAGGAACCAACCTCTGTGCTGTTCCAGCATCCCACATCCCACCACCCAGGCACTGAGCCCGGGGTAGGCTGCTGACACTCAAAAGTTTCAAAAGGACCCAAAAGGCTGCACCAGGAACCACCACCATACCTTCACTGTGCCAAACATCTCGTCCTTTATGTGCCCCCCTCCAAACTCCTTCTTCACCGTGGCTCTGGTGGCAGCGTAGAGCATCTTCAGCCGGACCTGCCGGGGAGAGGGGCAGCAGCGCCGTCACAGAGGGGCACAGGGCACCAGGGAGGTGCCCAGCGCTCACAGACACCATCCCACCACCAGCTCCACAAACATCAGCCCTCCTGGGAGCAACCACCCAGTTTCCAGCTCAGTCTGATTTCTAATGGCAGCATCCCTGAGTGGGGAGCAGGCGGGAAAACCCATCAGCACTATTTCCAGGGCTGCCAGCGCCTGGCGCAGCCTTGCCAAGCACAGCCCACAATCCCACAGTTTATTCCATGCTTTGCTTTCCAATCCCCGAGCTCCAGTGTGCCATTTCTCACCCACACCTGGGTTGGAGGAGGTGCAAATACCACTGGAGCCACTTAAAAGTGACTTTTGCCTTTGGCACTTCTATTGCCTCGTTCTGCAACACGCAGGGAAGAGCTTTGGCAGGTGCTCCTGGGCACAGTGTGCTTTTGCAATGAGACCCTCTGTGGTTTGTTGAAAGATATATATTTAAAATATATATTATTATATAGACACATGTATATATACATATACACATATACACACATAAAATTAGATATATCATTTTATCATAATTGTATATACATGTGTGTATACATATACGTGTGCATATATAATAATACTTAATTGTTAGATATATATCAAGGAACTGCAGTGGGTATTTTTATATATGCATGTTATAATATATAAAATAATATATATTACATATATTTGTGTCTGTATATATATTTATATATATATGACTAGTGCATGTATTAACATGGCAGTAAATCTATATAGCATAAAGATTATATAAAATATAAAATAAGTATACATATAAGTATATATGTGTGTATATATATATATGCACATATGTGTGTGTATATACATATATATACATGCACACATATATATGTATACAGATGGCAAGCACACATGTTAACACAGCAGTAAATGTCAGGCCCACCAAAAGCCCGTTCTGGAGACGTGCTCAACAGGATGACGTTTTCCAAGCCATATTGCTGACATTCTCTAAACCTGCCTCTCATCCAGCAGCCCTTTTTTGCCCAATCTCCAACACCAGATTTTGGAGCCAGGCCTGGAGAAGGGCTGGCAGCCACTCCTTCAGCAGAGCAGGGCCAGGCTGGAGGCAACTCAGTGCCAGTGCCGGCTCTTCCCAGCAATGCCTTTGCCCAGAGCCATGGTGGGATGTCTCCATCCTGGCCCTGTGGTCCATACCGCTCCCCCCTCTACATCCCAGCCCTGTCACCTCCTCAGGCAAAGAGGACAGAGACACAGTCCCAGTGCATCTCATTGTGTCTTAAAAAATTCCCCCATCCTCAAAGCAGACTCCACTTCTTAACCCAGGCACAGTGATGGAGGGTGTGAATGCTCCTCCTCACCCCCAGAGCAAAAGTCACCTTGGCCACCATCTCCTCCCCCCTGCACCTCCCAGAGCATGTCTGTGTATTCTCCCTGCTGGGATGTCACAGCCCAGCACGGAGCTCACCGGGGAGCTGTCGGGGGACCAGGAGATGAAGAGCCATTCGTATCCCTGGGCGTTCTGGCTGTCCAGGCGGTACAGCACATAGCACGGCTGCTGCTCGTCCAGCAGGGGCAGCACGAAGGGATCGTAGTCAGCGTCCCAGCGCCGGGACAGCTCTTTGTGGGCTCCCAGCACAAGCTGTTCTGGAAGGAAAAGACAGAGAAGGGGGTGTTAGATGAAGACAAGGCTCACTCTGCAGGACCAGACGGTGGCTCACCCAAGGGTTCACTGCAGCTCCAGCACCAACGATGCCATCCTGCAGAAAAACACTGTGACCTGGAGCCACATGCAGCAGTGTACACCCCCAGGTGTGACCCCCCAGGAGATGCCATTGGGGCTGTGGCTGCTTTGGAGGGGCTGGTTTTCTGCCAGCATCCCACTGCCTCCTCTCAACCATCTCCTCCCCTCCAGTGCTCCTCATTGCCGAGGTCTCCTCTCTGGTGATCACCTGTGGCCTCCTTCCCCTCTGCTCCCTCCAGTTGTGTAGTTCTCAACCATCCCTTCTTGCTCACAGGGGAACATGAGACTTCTCCAATCCCACCTGGGAAGCTCTAGGGGCACTATAATATCTCACCAGGGACACACCAGTATTTGGGGTGCTGAGAAAAATAAAGGTCTCATTGCAAAATCCACTACCATGAGCCAAAGCTGCTCACATCAGATTCCCTTAACCACAGAGGGGACAAAATGAGAGCTGACACCCAAAGCTTATGTCTGTGGAAATCAGGGGTGTCCCAGAGACCCCATCCTGGGGTCTCTGCCAGGAGAGACCCAACCTCTGGAAGTAACCTAAGTATTTCACACACGTAGCAGCATCTCAAGTACCTGGAGGGTATTTTTTCAGCTGCTACACAAGTGGCAGTAGGGCTGGGAGCCCTGTGAGCTGGGCACTGCTCAGCTGAGATTTAAACACTGGAGCAGGCATCCTACAGACATAAAACCCACCCCCTGGTGAGGGTCAAATCAAGCTTTGGGATGGCTGAATGGAAAAGCGTTGGCACTGGAGACGATTAGTGTAGGTTGCTGGAAAACAGACTGTATTTTTATTCCATTTGTAGATGTAGAAAGGTCTGGAGGAAGATTATGGGACTCAGAACAAGATCTAGGAAAATCTGGAGGTGCCAAAGCAAATGAACTAGGGCCTTGAACAACTGGCACTTGAGGGGATGCTTGGCCTGGCACATGCCCTGCCTGGACCTCTGCCCACAGCCCTGCTGCCCACTGGGAGCCAGGGAGCCCCTTGGCTGGGGCACAGCCCTCTCCCAACCCATTCAGGCCAGCAGCTCTAAATCCCATGGCAGGGAAATTTTTAAAGAAAATAGTTGAGGAATAAAGGATTTGGAAGGAATTACTCTCATCCCTCCTTCCCACCCAAGCAGGACATTCCTGAAGACAGCAGTGCAGCCCTTCCCTGCCCAGTGCCACCCCGGCATCTGCCATCACACACTGAATCCAGTTATTTGAGCATGGGTAGCACAAGTTACCAGTTCAGTAACAAGGACAGCAGAGAACAAGGTGCTGGAAATACTTTACCTTCAACAAAACTACCTGTTCAGAGAAAGAAGCATAAAAACTTCCATGTACCCCTAAAATAAGCACAAAGCTCTGCAAATAGATTTGTGCATCACAAAGGCCTGGGATCCCAAAGAGACTGCAGGAATTTCACCTGGCCAAACCCACTGGCAGCTCGTGGGTATCTCTGTCTGCAACACATACCAACACCTCACGCACGAAGCAATCGGTGCTGAGTCACTCCAGGCTATTCCCGGGATGTGACTAAGCCGGACCCTGGCTGTGCTGCCGTGAGCTGGCAGCCTCCAACTTTCCCTTAGGCTCTTTGCAGTTCTGCTCAATCCACTCAGGGCCAAATTTTTCTCCTTGGGAAGAGTCAGGAAACTCGAAGCAACCGCCCTTCAAGCAAAGCATCATCGTCGGCACTGGCTCTTTCAGGCACCGTTTCTGCTGGGAGCTGCTGCTAGAAAAGCAGAGCTGGGAGTGTTTCTGGCCCTCAAGGTGCCCCCAGCACTCACTGCACACAGGCTGCCTCACTCTGAAATGCCTAACAAGGAAGCTCTGCCTTCAGCTCTGGTGGGTGCCATGGGGGGACAGCACAAGAGCTCCAATCTGCAAATCTCAGTGCACAACAGCACTCAAGTGTAAAGATTGGCACCCAACAGGGAAGTCCACAAAGTCAACCTTGTCCAGAATCCTGCTGACAGTGAGAAGCAGAGCATCATCTAAAAACATGTTGAACCACAAGCTGTTCTCATGCCAGCAAACTGCTGCTGAGCCTTGGTGCACATCCTGCTCTCCCAGTCCTCCTCCATCCAGCCATAGCTTTTCCCAGTAGGTCTCCAAAGGCAGCATCAGCTCAAATCACTCCAAAGGGCTGCTCAGCCATAGATGTGGCTTTGGGAATGCCTAGACACAGAGCATCAGCCATAAGGCTCCTTGCACCATCTTCCTCTCCTTCTACCCGCTGTTGCCTGCTCTGAAATGCACTGAGACAAATGCCCAGCAGGGCACAAGGTGTCTGCAAGCCACCAAACAAAGATGGAGGCTCCTCTTCCTCATCCCCTGTTCAGGCAGGGCAGCTGGTACATCCTTCCCAGCCAGCTTGGGACACATCCCTTCCAGGACCAGCATGCTGGAGTCCCTCTATCTGGCTGTGACATCTGCCTGGACGCTCATTACCGCCCAAAGGTCCATCTCCAGTGGGTACCAGTGGGCTGATCTTCCCTGTGTTACAAAGAGTGGTGGCCCAGAGAGGCCAAGCGCCTTGTCCCTGAGTCAGGTTGGTGGGACCACCACCACCTTGTCCACAACAGTTCAAGCCCTTTGGCAGAGAGGTGCTCCCACCAATTCTCCTTCCTCCTGCCTACCCACAGGAGCCTCAGGCTCTGCTGCACCTCAGAAGCTTCTGCAGGCACCCAAGTGCCTCCAGAGCTGCCCATGGCTCGTCCAGGCCAGGGAAAAGTAGCTGGCAGAGTGGGAGAGCTGGACTGTGAAGCACAAAACACTGCCAGGTGAGGATGGTCCATGAAGCTGCCGCTGCCACATCGGACATATAAATATACCCTATTTATTCTTAGCAGAGATGGTAGGACATGTTTTCCATTGATGATAAAACGTCTCACTTGCTGGTGTCACCAGCCACAACCCAAAGCCTAAGACCAGGCTTATGGACATCCATGAGTTGCGTTATCCTAACACAAACCTGACTCCCACTTTTTAAAAGCAAAAGAAGGTGAGAGTGCAAAATTGTTGTCAAAGATGCTCCCAAGAAACAATGTGGATGTCTCATCCCACCACACAGGGACCTGGCCGAGGACAAAGCCAAAACAGCTGAACCTGCTGTAGCCCCAGTGCTGTGTCCCTTCAAGTGGCATTTTAAGTCTTGCTGCTCTTCCAAACAGGGTTTTGCAGCCACTCCAAAGGTCACTGTGGGCTCCTTACGACCACATCCACCTCAGTATTTGTGGCATGGTCCTGGTGGCCCACCAAGGGAGGTGGTGACAGCAGCTTGGCAGGGCATTAATGTCCCTGCTGCTGGAGAAACAAGTCATTCATATGCAATTGTATGAGGCCGAGGTGATGGAAAACCTACACCACAGTGGCTCCCCGCTGGGATGTTCAATCACTGCTTTGCTCCACTCACTAGACAGATGTAGAGGCCACCCAAAGGCACCTTCCCATGGGACAAACACAGGCAGGTTGGTGCCACCTGCATCCTGGGCTAGGGGCAGTTGCATGAGATGGGATGGCTTTCTGAGTGTAGCATCCCTTGTGGGAGGAAACTGGGGCCCTGTGCTGGGCCCTGTGCCACAGAACACCCCCTTGCCCACCCCTGCCCCAAACACCTCCTTACCTGGTGTGGGATGCCAAATCTGAGGAGGAAGATGCCTGTGCATCACCCCCAACAAAGGTCCCATGGTCCCTGCAGCAGTTTGTCACAGGGTTCCCATCACAATTCCACACAAGAGCAGCAAAAGCCCCCCAGAGCCCAGCACAGATCCCGGACACCAGTGCTGCTCTGCTGGCAAAGTCACTGCTCCCCGCAGGAGCTGCCCTAGGGCTCCAATAGCTGCTCATCAGCACAGCCAGATTTTGGGCTTGTATTTCAGGTCTGGGCTGCCACGTGCCAGGAAACCCCAGGAGCATTTTCCTTGAGGTTTCCAAAAACAGGAGCTGGCACCACAGTGGTGAATAGGAGAGGAGGAGAGGAAACAGAGAACAGACATGGTGTAAATCAAAGCACTTATAAACAGGACTTACCATCCTCGATGATGACCTTGATGAGCCGAACTGAACCGTTCCGGGCTTTGGCAAAAAAGTCCCTTAATTCTGTGGTGGCTGAAAGAACCAGAAACATCGTGATCAGATTTAGCAATCAAAGGAGGTGCTGGGCTCTCGGTGACTGACCAGGGAGAGGATCAACTTGGCAGGATAGAAATTTAAAAATGTTTTGTAAAAAAATCAAATCTCTGGTGCCAAAAAATAATTATAATAAAAAAAATAATAGTAAAAAGCCCAAAAAGCTGGGAGTAAAGTGCTGCGTCTCCCTGAGGTGTCGCAGTTAAATAGCAGCTGGGAGCACATGTGATCCAGAGAACCTGATACTTGGCCTGGGTGAACATAATCACCCAAATTTAGACGATGGCTTGGCCAATGCAGGCAGGGAGAGCTCAAGTGACAAGTTGATTCGCTTTTCAGAGCGGCGGGGTTTGCATACTAGGGGTGGTTGGAAGATGTCCCGACAGGCTGTGACATCCCGGGCTTGTGACACGCGGCAGGATGCTGCTCCCGAGCGGCTGGGAACCAGCACGGCTCCAAACTGGAGACACTGGTTTGAAGCTGAGCCCTGGGGAAGGGAAAGGCAATAGCCCCAGGGCTTTGCTCCAGAGCCAGCAGGGCTTTGATTGCACAAGGCTTTTGGGAAGCGTTTAGGGGAGCCACCTTCCTGCTCATCCCCCATCCCTGAGACCGGGCAATGGCAACCAACCTTCAGCATCCTTCCAGGAGGCAATTGGAGGCAGTGGATATTGAAGGAGCAGCCCACAGTCAGCATGGGAGGCTTCATCTCCCCACCCTGAAAGCATTACTGGCACAGAGCTCCCCATCCCACCCAGGACATGCTGCGTGTGAAGGCGATGCTCAGGCCGCAGGCCTGGAGGGGCCGACCCCCCGATAAGGAACATCTCCCAGGCCAGCTCCCCCTGAAATCCCTTCAGTTACACACCCAAGCCCTTTGCTGGATGCAGCCATGCAGCCAAGGGGGTCCTGTGAATTCAAAGCTGCTGCACTTGTTAGAAATACTAAAGTGGCACTGCAAAGATTAGAGAGCTGGGCAGACGCCCCTCAGTCCACGTCAGGATCCGTGCTCAGTTCCCATCAGCAGCGCCCTGCTCCTGGTGCCTTGCTGTGCCACCTGCCCATTACTGACGGCTGCGCCAAAGCAGCCAGCAGCAGGAGGGAACCCTGCTTGGGTCCCTGGAGCCTGAGAGCATCCTTGGTCAAGGCACTTTGCAAAGGAAGCCATCCCTACATCAGATGGAAAGGTGCAGTGGTGGGATGTGCCACAGCAAGGGCTGTATCCATTCTGGTTCAGTCCCTCCAGCAGTGAGTTGGCACAGCCCCAGCATCACCACAGGAGGAGCCTCAACATTATCCAGCACCCACCCAAGGGACATGGTGGCCAAGGACTGTCACACAGCACTGCCCTCTGTCCCCTGGAGCCACACCCTGGGCTGAGGCACTGCCCGCAGCTCTCCCAGCCACGAGGGAGAAGGAATCCCTGGGGTGCCCCCAGGAAACTCCTGCCTGTCCCCCACAAGTGACACTTCTGCGATGCATTTGCCCCACCAGCTCAAAGCCTGCCATGGTCAGAGGCCCAAGTGGCTTCCCCTCCCATGGAGAGAAGAGGCACACCTGAGGGAGAGTTTCCAGGCTGGTTCCCTGCAGGCAGCAGTGCTCCCATACAAACCCAGAGAAGCCATTCCAACAGGACCCTGTGGGAACAGGCACACAGACACCCCAGTGAAGGCACATCACTCCCTAATGGCATTTCAGGGGCCACTCAGGTGGTTTGCTGGTGTTATCCCACCACAAGCAAACCATCCTTCTCCCTCCATCAGCATCAAGGCATGTAGCCCTCCCAGTTCCCAGAGCAGACCTTCACACTCTCCCAGTGCCAGCTGGGAGCTCTGCCTGCTCCTGCTGTGCCCAACCAAGGATACTCCGATATTTTTAGCCCCTTTCTCTGTTGAGAGTGGCTGTTTCCTTCTGGCAGCATCTGTGGTTACAGCAAACACATGGGGCGGAAGAGGAAGAGAAAGAGAGACATTTATACACCCAGGAAACCTCGGGCAGGAGACAAAAGCTCCTAACAAGCATTAAGTTTCACCAATTCCTGTTAAACTGCCAAAATGGGAGAGAATAACAACCGTCTTGGATGTTTCTGTAGCATCAACTTTGGGGAAGAAACAGGAAAGCTCTGCAGCACTAACCAGCTTGCAAATCTCTCCAGCCTGACCTCATCCTTCCCAGAACCCGAGGGCATGTGGGGGGTGTGGAAAATCAGGAGTCTGGGCAAATGCAACCTGCTAGCCCACTTGGAAATGCTAGGAGTGCCCTGAAGTGTAGGATAAACAGCTGGGATGATTGACAATTGTGATTGACAAGTGATGACCAAGAGCTGGGACCTGTGTAGGTACAGAAGGGTTGAAGGGGATGAGGAAAAGCTTGGATGCTGCCAGACAAGCCCAGGAAAATACCACAAGGTCTGCCAAGGAGGAATACTATTTCCAGAGGAGACAGCAGCAAAAAAAAAAAAAAGAAATCTCAGAGGGGGCTTCCAAGCTTTAAATCTGCTGAAATAAAAAGAAAAAAAAAAAGCAACTTTCATTTAAATAAAAAAAATCACCAGGGTGTCTTCAACATTCCCTTCTGCCTCTCATGACGCAGATCCAAGAGACAGTGAGGAGGGAGAGGAATAAACCAGCGAAGGTTTGAGCATGAGCTTGGCAAGTGTTTCATTACGGCGAGATTACGATTTAATTGGCACAGCAGACTTGACGAGATGGCTCACGTGCCTGAAATATCAATACAGAAGTCCACAGCTGGCTCTGGAAGAAAGGCAGGGAGGAGACTTCACCCTGGAGATGGTACCTCTGCCACATGGCATCTCCTGCCCAGAAGTGTCCAGGACACAAGTCAAGGGCTGAAAAACCCACATGTGGGGAAACCATAAAAACCAGGGAAAGGAAGGTGCAATAGGGCAGAGGACTGGAGGGGACCCACACATCCAACTCACCCTCTAGACATGGGTTCCTGGAAAATACTGGAACAAATAATCCAGAAACAAATCCAAGCTGGGCTACAGCCTGTGTTGATCTACTGTGACCAAATCGCATGAGATCCCTCACACTTCTTCCAGCAGAGCCACAGACCTGTGGGCTTCAGGGGTCTCAGCTCTGGTTCTAAATGTCTCAAGCCAGCTTAGAAAACATGGGGGTGGTGAACCTCTATGGCATGGACACAAAACCGCATGGATAACTCACTCAGGGAGGTATCAGAGGTTGGATCCAGCAAGGTCTCCTGGGGACCTGTGGTGGGTCCAGGTTTGTCCACATTTCCATGAACACTTCTGGCAGCTGCAGTAGTGCTTCCTGCAGCTGTAAGGTGGGAAGCTAGAGGAGATGCAAGCACACGCTGGAGAAAAATTCACCGTTCTTTCAGGAGACTGGAGAAATGGGCTGGGAAAAAAAGAAATAGGATAAAACTCAATAGGAAGCCAAGAACCGTAACTAGGGGAAGGCCCAGCTACGATGATGCAGGGCAGGGTCCAGCAGCTCCAGAGAAGAGAGGTGGGTCACAAGCCAAGTTCAGGTTAGTTGCTTCACGTTGTGGCAGGCAAAGTCATTCGTGAAGGCACGAACAAGAGCATGACCGTGTTATTTGGTGCTGACAAGGCTGCAGGCACAGCAGGAACAGCACATCCAGGCTCAGCATCGTGCAAGGAGCAAGGCACAGCACAGACAGCACCTGTGCCAGAAGGCACAGCGTGTGGGAGAAACCAAAGGAACTGGGGCTGGTCAGCCCAGAGCAGAGAAGAAAAATCATGAACAGTTTGTACTGGTTTTCCAGCCAGAAACATCAGGTCCCACCTTGGCATTTGGGAAATCTCATGATGAGGGTGATCAAACCCCGGGAAAGACAGACACCAAGTATCCATTCCTGCCCTGAAAAACTGCCAGAAATGCTCCTGGGATGTTGCTGCTTTGAGGCAAGGTGAGCTTGGTGGCATCTGAGGAACCTTCTGGCCTTTCTACAAGGCAGCCCTGCTGTCCACCCTCCTGGCAGACATGATGGGCACAAGCACCTCTGCCTCCTCAGCCACCCACCCAGCCCAAAATCTCCTCCAGCCACCGAGTCGTGCAGCACCTCCCTCTCCCACTTGTTCGTAGGCTGCAGATGAGTTGTCCCCTACTCATGAGCCACCTGCACTTAGCAGCCTGCTAACAGCGTGTCCCAGGTCCCCTTGCACCACACAACCTCCCTGCCCAGTGACATCTGCCACCCATTTGGGATGGAGGGCTGAGCAGAGCCCTCAGCACCAGAGCACCCAGGCTGGGCAGCTCATGGCATGGCAGGGAGGTGATGGTTTGGGCAGTGCTGGCCTTCAGGTGTCCCTGATCCTGCAGGCAAGCTGCCAGAGGACAATTGGAGCTTGTGGTGGGAAGGCACAGCGGTGCCTTCCCTCTGGCAGCACCGAGCAGGCACAGCCCAAAGCCTGAATCCCTTGAGCTGGGGAAGCAGCAGGGCAGCCAGATCCTTGCACCTACTGCTCAGACGTGCTGCTGGCAGCCAGAGCAGACACTGCCCTGCCCTGGGATGTGCCCCTTTGGATCAGTCCCCAGGAGATTTCAACGCTGGGCTTGAGGCATCATGCTTGCCTAAACTGCTGAAAGATGGTGCTTGCAGGTACCAGCCCATCAAACGCCATTCCCAAATGGAGCTTTTTTCCAATGTTTACAGCCTCAATTAGCTTATCTGAGCAGAGCCGGGCTGTGAGGAGGCCGGAGGGGGAGAGAGGCACCCGGCAGTGATGACAGCCGTAGCCACAGCAACGGCCACTCTGTCCCTGGGGATGCCAGGGTGCCAGCGGAGCCGCCCATGCAATCCCCAGGGAAGCACCGCGGGGATGGGGATGGAGGCGACAGCCAGGCCGCCTCCCCCGCGCCTCCCCCTCCTCCATCCTGTTCGCTCGTCTGGGCAGCAACAGGTTTTTGCTTATCTGACCCTTCCCAATCCCCCCTCATCCCGGTGCCAGCACCCAGCTCCCAGATCAATAATACATGTTCCCTGAAACAGATGCCTCTCTCAATAACATCGAGTCACCTTCTCCTCCCCGATGGGAAACCCGAGCCCCCAGCCATCAATCTTTCATTCCCTGGACATAATCTTCAAGACGATGCCGCTCTAAGTGGCTGCTTCCCTTTCACCGTCCAGGGCACAAGCATGCCTGGGATGCAACAGGGAAACTCTGCCAAAAAAACCAGCCGCAAACCCGGGCAAAACTTGTCCAAGCTCCAGGGAGGCTTGGCCAGACAGAAGTCGAGATGCTGATGAATAAAACATTCATTATACCTGCACTACCCACGCCTTCCCTGCCCAGTCGCCTCTGCCCAGCTCCTGTCTGGGCGTCCAGGAAAGGACACAACTGCAACAGGCACAAAACAGCTTCTGCTGCTGCTAAAATTCCTTCTTTTCAGTCTATCCCGGTGTAACTCCGTCACGCAGCGCCTGCTCAACCCGCTTGCTTGCAGGGAGCTTTGCTGCTGACGGACACGCATGGCCAGTTTAAGTGCTAAGAGGATTTTATTCCTCACCGTGGAAAAAAATAAATATGTCCTTGCATGGAATCTTTTCTGTGGGGAAAAAGCTACAGATGTCAGAAGAAAATAGAAAGAAGGAAGGGAGGGAAAAAGAGGGCAAGAGAGGAAGGAGACAAGCAGAGCTTTTCTCCCGATTTTCTGTGGGGCTAGGCTGTATTCCTGCAGGATTTCACACGGATGGCTCCTGGTCTGTAGTGCAAATCCTGCCCAGAGACTTTGAGCCAACACCAGCCATTTGCTTCTCAACACCCGATTTTCCACATGGGTGCCCATGACCTGTCCTGTCTCCATTTTGCCACCTCAGATCGGAGTTATTTGGCCCTTCCCTTGCTCCAGGGTGGGCAGCACCCACCCTGCAGGCAGCATTAATCGGATCCCAGAGCAAAGCAGTGGTGCCTGCAGAAGTGGCTGGTTGCTGTTGCTTTTCTCTGCCCAAGTAAAGCCACCAGTGGCTTTACTGGTTTGGGTACTGAAGGGAACAGAGGGCCAGGGACAGACCCTGGCAGTGATCTCATTGCATTTACAGTCTCTCACTGTACACTTTCTGAAGGATTTCCTCTCCCCCACCATTTTAGGTGTTTAAATTTAAGGGATTTGACATCTCAGGGCATTTGTCTGGTCTTCCACCCACACTTGCCCTCCTGGTCATCCTGTCGTGCCATCCACTTGGATATGGGCCATTCCCCAAAGTGGGCATCAACCTCTGAGTTGGGTGTTGGCCCAAGGAAGGAGCTCACAAGCAGAGACTGGCTCCTCAAAACCATCCTTGCAGCAGTCTGGTGCCCTCTGTCCCCCATGGGTAACAGGGGCCAGGAACCAGCCATCCCTTCTCCTCCTCCGCTGATGGCGTGGTGTGACATATCCCTGGTTAGGGGGTTATCCCAGCATTCCAGCCACAAAGCTGCCCTGGATTCAGGTGTCCAGGTGCCTCAGGAGCCAATGCTGCCTCCCAGGACAGGAAGAAGAGAGGGGCTGAGGATGTGGTGGATGGGGAGTGAAGGTCCTTCTTTCCTCCCACTGTAGAGCCAAGAAGCCAGCTGTTTTCCAAGGAGACCTTTGCAGACCCAGCAGCTCCTGTGTCCCTCCTTTTTTCCCATCTGACAGTATTCCTGCCTGTGTGCTTATGCTTCTCCATTCCTACCAGATGTTTTCCCAATGCAAGACCCAGACCTGGGGCAAAGTGACAGCTCAGCTGTGGATGGGAGTGAAAATCCTCCCCCATCCCCAGGTCTTGCCACCTCCCCCAGAAAGAGCAGCCACCAAACTCTATTTTTGGGTTGAAGAAACAACATGCATTTGATTTCTTTACCTTCTAGATGAAAAAAAAAATACCCTCTAAGAGACTTTTTCTCTCTACCCAGAGGTCTTGAAAGAGATCCCAGAAGCAACTGAAAGCAGATGACCTCCCACCAGCATCAAAGCCCTGGTTCAGCATCACCTTCCTAAGGTTTTAAACTCAAGCAGTGAATGCTTGTCCCCATCTAACGCTGCTGAGGGCAGAACATGGACTGCAAAAATACTCAATGAACCCTCCCAGCTGCAGCTAAAAAGTAGGTTTCCAGCCCCAAAAAGCCCACAGCACCCCTTGATAGCTTCCAACCGCCTCCCCAGCCTGGCAGTCTCCATGGCAGCCTGGTTTTCTTGCTGGCACCTTCAAGGGAGCTGCCAGGGATACACAAAAAAAATCATAATTAGCCTCTTGCCCCTGTATGAAAGGCTCAGCCCTGATTACACACCCTGAACCTGCAGCTCTCACTGCCACTGCTTCTCCTCCCTGGGGGCCACCTACGTCTCCCCAAAAGCTGGGATGACACGGTAGCCTTGTAGCAGGGGGCTGCTCCAGGTGTTCCCTATGACCACATCACCCTGCTCTCTCACGGATCTAGCCCAGTGAGGAGCAAAATCCCTCACCAGCTTGTCCACAACCTCCCCTAAGCCAGCCATCGGATCTGATCGTAATTCCCCTGGGAGCAGATGCCTTCCTGCAAACAAGGAAGAAATGGCAATGAAAAAATACAAAGCAATGGGTGCACACAAAGATAACAAGGCCCCAGGAACCAGGAAGATGCAGAAAATCCCTCCTCCTCAGCAAACAACAGACCTCAGCGCCTCAGCAGAGGGGATGAAAGCAGCAGTGGGATTGCTGTTCCTCATTCGATATGGAATCTGCTCCTTGCTGAGCAAACGGATTAATTTGATCACTGTGCCGGGGTGGGGAGGACTGAAAGACCCCAAATCCCCCTTGGGGGATTCCTTTAGAGCCTGGAGTGCCCCATTTGAGCACTGCAGGTGTTGGAGGGGCAGATTTGCACTCAGAGAGGAAACAGCGGCTTCCCGGAAGAGGGACCACACAGGAGGGGATGGAGAGAGGACCCAGAGACGTCCAAGATGCTGTGACAGCAAGGCCACCCAACACAAGTTATTTTCCATAACCACAGGGAGGTTTTTATGCCACTGCCAGCTCGAGGATCTGCTGCTGGGCCAGAGCAGTTGGGTCAATCCCCACCCTGCACTGCTGCAGCTCCTCAGGGGAAGTCTGAGTCCCTTCCCCTTTCCCTCAGAGCACTGCTGACGGGCACGTCACATCCTACGGGCAACAGTGCCTCAGGGTGACTCCCATCACTAGTCAAAGAGGGTTTGCCAAGCGGTGGGCAATCAAGGTCAGGGAAGGTCAGTGCTCTCAGAGGGAGCCAACCTGGCACATCTCTCTCCCCAATAGCCACAGGGAGCCAGGGAAGATGGCACCGGTGGCATAGGAGCAGCTGGGTGCAGCTGGTGAGCAACAGGCAGCAGCCTCTTGGGGCACACAGCACAAGAGGCCCTGCCTGCCCAAACCCCACAGGGAGCTCTGCAGAGCGGGACCGGCACACTCAGAGTTCAGGTGGGCGCTGGGATCCATCCTGCCGATTTTTTCTTTTTCCTTTTTTAATTATTATTACATTTTTACAACACAGGGATCATTTAATTAGAGCCTGAACTTTAGGATCTAAGTTTAAACTAGAAACAAAGAAATCTGAACCCAAACGCTGTCAACCACCTGCTCTCCTGGGCAAAGCAGGGGAAACATCCAAGCACCATCGCTGGCCACTTCTGAGCTACAGCCCCCGCTGGAGCATCTGGAGGGGAAGGATGCTCTTGGGCATGCTCAAGGAACAAGGATGGTCATGGCACGAAGGAAGAGCAGGCACGAACTCACACCCTGGTGCACAGGTGCTAGCCGTGAGGAAGGGAGCTGTGACAATGTCCCTGCTCTCCTCCCGGGACATGCTGCGGGGCTGGATTCACATCCGACCACGCGGAGCAGGGCTCCAGGGGTGGCTGCTCTCACATCCCTGCTCGCATATTGATTCGGTTACATAAATTATGCAGCACCTCTACTCCTGATTAATATTGCTAATTGAGTTGGGAGGTGGGGGGCAGGAGGGAAATACCGTGAGGACACACAGTCAGTCATGCACCAAGCGCACCCAGAAATGCAAAAGCCGTCGTCTCGGGGCGCTGGCTGAGTCCTGGGGGGAGCGGGCGGAGAAGCAGGGGAGCAGGAAAACACTCGGGCTCTCCGCACCTCCCCTGGGCTGGGGGCAGCCGGGGACAAGCATCCGCGCCGGGAGGGGCGCGGTGGCCGGGGCTGCGGCCAGGCAGATGTGCGTGACACTTCTGCCCGAGCGTGTTACAGCGGCTGTTGAGCATCAGCCCAGACAAAGGATGCGGGAGAGCCCCGCACCCGCGGCACCCCGGAGCCAGACCCCCCTCCCGCAGCTCCTCCCGGCACCCAAACGCTCCGAGCCTGACTCAGTGTCCCCCTCCCCCGCTACTCGCAGGAAACCTGCCGGCTCCTTCGGGAACCTTCATCTTATCGCCCCCATCACCCCCGCTGTCGCGACACCGCCCGCATCCCGCCCGCGGCGGGGCCGGGGATGTGCGGGGCGCGGCCCCGGCGGTGCCTCCCGCGGGGGGCGCAGCCCGGCCCGGGGGGGTCCGGGGGCTGCGGGGGTCCCGCGGGAAGGGCCGGGGGGGGACCCGCGCTCGGCGGGCGCCGCTCACCGTGGATGCCGGTCTGGTGAGTCATGGCTCCGCTCGGCTCCGCTCCGCTCGGCTCCGCTCCGCCGCGTCCCGGGCAGGAAACGGCTGGGCAAGGCAGCACCGCCCGTTCCGGAGCGCGGGGCCGCTCCGCTCCGCACCGCCCCGGGGCGGGACCGGGGCCGGCCCCGGGAGGAGCCGCCGGAGGAGCCGCCGCTGCCCGGCCATGTCGGCAGAGTGGCTGCGGCGCTGGCGGCGGGGCGGCCCCGCGGAGCGCCCCGGCCCAGACCCGGCAGCGGGGCCGGGGCCGCCGCCCCCCGCCCTCTGCTACCGCCGGCCCAAGTTCGTGCCCGGCGGGGCCGAGGAGAGCCCGCGGGGCGGGCGGGCCGTGCGGGGCGCCGGCAGCGAGCGGCGCCTGCCCTGGGGCGCGGGATACGCCGAGTGAGTGCGGCGGGAGAGCCCCGGGGCGGCGGGGTTAGGGGGTCTGTCCCGGGCTGCTGAGAGGGTTTGGGGAGGGGGAGTAGCGCAGGTTTGGGGGCTCTTGGGGGTGTAGAGGATGCTTGGGGGGCGAAGGGCACTCCTGGGGAGGTGTCGGGGGGTGGTCGCACCCCGCCCCGCGCCCCTCGGGTGCAGCCCCCCACTGCCCGGAGCCGCCTGCCCAGGGGCAGAGCTCGGCCTCCCACCCCGTTTGCGGGCGAGGAGGGAGCGGCTTCCTGCTCCAGAAGAGGATTGACGTGGCAGCGTGTCCCCCAACCCCTCTCTATCCCTGCTGGGGACACCCCTGCCCACCCCCTGCCAGCGGCAGGACAGGTACCAGTGCAGTGAGAAGTGGCCGGGGCAGCCCCGAGAGCACCACCGGGTGTCTGTCCCCTTGCTCCTAACTAAGTGTCTTTAAAACGAAGGGGAAGATCACATTTTTCGAAATCTCTTGTTTTGCTTTTTTAAAGGGCAGAGGGGATGGATCAGGCAGAACAACTCCAGCCAGGAGCTGTCCCCACATCCTGGCCAGACCACCTCACCACCCTGTGGCTGTGGGATGGCACAGTGTGAAATGCAAGGAGAGCAAACTCCCATCCAGGGACAAACCATTAGCAAGGCTGGAGGGAAAAGCAGTGGTGGTGGTTTTGCAATTCACTGTGTTGACAAGGAAATAGCACAGTGTGGGCTGCTGACAAGGGCTTACTGAGGCCAGGGTGCTCCAAAACTACTCACTTGTCCCTGTGTCCCTGGCCAGGCTTTTCCCTGCTGTACATAAAGGGCTTATTGTTTCGGTCACCAGCAAAGAGATCCTCGAGTTTGAAAAGGGAGCAGGGAGCATGGGGCTGGAAGGAAGTGGCAAGGTGCAGCTGTTCACTGTGGTGGCACAGCTCGCTGAGCAGGAGAGGTGCAATGCATGACCACACCTTACCTGGAGTGTTTGCACCCCCAGGGTTATCAATGCCGAGAAGTCAGAGTTCAATGAGGACCAGGCAGCCTGCTGTCAGATCTCTGTCCGGAGGAGAGAGCCAGGCCTGGAGGAGGATGAGGAATGGCTGATCCTGTGCTCCATGCAGGTATGCCCCAGGCAGGCTGTGCTCACCCTGCTGCCAGCCTTTTGCTGCCACTCAAGGGCCCAGGGTCAGGAAATACAATTACTCCATCAGTCCTACATACCACTCACTGAAACCCTTCCTTGGACTTGTTAGGGGGACCTGTGTACCTTATGGGCAGCAAACACCCAGCTCTGCCTGTAAATGCCATTTCTACTTCCATGGGACTTGGAGCATTTGAAGTCACCCTTTACTTGGTGCCATCAACTTTCCTTTACTGTCCTCGCTCTGCTTCCAAGGGCCAGTGTGTGTGGTCATCACCTGGGGACAGCAGCATGAAGCAGGCACCAAGATGCCTTCACCTGGGAGCAGACCCTGCCTTACCTCTTGTGAAATGGCCCCATCTCCCCTAAAACACAGAGGAACAGCACGTGAGGTCGGGTGGTGCAAATCCAGACGCTGAGATGATGGGTCTGCCAGAGCAGCACGTGGGCATCATGAGTTTGAGCTGCACAGGAGATTAACTGGTGGCAGGGAAGGGTAGTTGGGGTGGAAAAGCCAGGCAAAACACACTCTGTGATGTTCTGGCTGTGAGCCTGCCACCTGTACAACCTCTTCAGCCCTTGTCTTCTCCCTCCCTTGCTGTCTTTTCCCTCTTCCTCACGGCAGTTTCTAACTGGTTACTACTGGGCGCTGTTTGATGGCCACGGTGGCCCCGACGCTGCCATCATTGCCTCCAACTACCTGCACTACTGCATCAAGCAGAAGCTGGAGGAGGTGGTGGGAGGCATCACAGAGGCCCAGCCCCCCATGCACCTCAGCGGGCGCTGCGTTTGCGACAGTGACCCCCAGTTCGTGGAGGAGAAGCACATCCATGCAGCAGACCTGGTGGTGGGAGCGCTGGAGAATGCCTTCCAGGAATGTGTGAGTACCCCCCTGTGCAGGGCACCAGTCCTGCTGTCCCAGACAGTCAGTCTGTCCCCCCTCACCACCCTGAAGGGCAGGGTCTGCAGTTCTGCAGCTCATGGAGCAGGCAGGAATATTCATCCAAACATGTAAGGGTGCTGAGATCAGGCTAGTTCAGACCCCAACACCTGCCTCAGATTTATTGCACGTCGGCAGTGCTGACCCAGAGGAAAGCTACAGCATCTCTTTACTATTTTTAGGGCTATTGTGACACTCATACAGTGAGTACAAGTTAGATCTCCCCCTCACCCTCCTAAAGCACTCTGTAGTCCAGTGGCAACAGCTGTGTTGGCTGTACCAAAGTAACATCATCGGTCACCTTGCTGGTTTCCTGTGACCTATCCACAGGCAGTTTTGGTTCTGGATTTCTGCTGGGAGCCACGTCAGTCTTTAAACTTTAAACCAACAGGATGAAGTCATCGGCCAGGAGATGGAAGCTATGAACCAGACGGGAGGCTGCACTGCTCTGGCTGCCCTTTATTTCCAAGGAAAGCTGTATGTGGCTAATGCTGGGGACAGCAGGTGAGTCATAATAAAAGGGGGAAGTTGCTGCAGGGCGGGACCTGGGACTTGAGCAAGGTTTCCAGCATCTTACTGTCCTGGTTTCAGCTGGGATAGAGTTAATTTCCTTCCTAGTGGCTGGCACAGTGCTGTGTTTTGTATTTAGGATGAGAACAGTGTTGATAAGCCACTGATGTTTTAGTTGTTGCTGAGCAGGCCCTGCACAGAGTCAGGGACTTTTCAGCTCCTCACCCCAGCAGTGAGGAGGTTTGAGGGCACAAGAAGCTGGGAGGGGTTACAGCCAGGACAGCTGATCCCAAATGGCTCAAGGGATATTCCAGCCCATGTGGCACCATGCTCAGTGTATGAACTGTGGGAAAGCTGGATGGGGCCACTGCTTGGGAAGTGGCTGGGCATCAGTCAGTGGGTAGTAAGCAACTGCACTGGGCATCAATTGTTTTGTATATTCTAATTCTTTTATTATTACTTTCCCTTTCATTTCTGTTCTATTAAACCACCTTTATCTTAACCCACAGATTTTACTTTTTTTTTTTCCTCTCAAATTGTCTCCCCTATCCCACTGTGGGGGGAGTGAGCGAGCAGCTGTGTAGTGTTTAGCTGCCTGCTGGGTTAAACCATGACACTTATTTAATCCAGCAGACAGTAAATGTGGCAGCCCAGCCATTTCCCTCCTGCCTGGCACAGGACCTGTTGGAAGAAAAGAGATTTCATGCCTTCTGGAATGGTTTCAGGATTTTAAGAGACTGAGTCTGCCCAGCCACAGGGCAGCACTGGGGTGGTGGTGCAGCAGTACACTAAGTCTGTTAGGTGTTTAAAAGTGTAAGGTCATTTCAGGGTATCCCCAAGAGCTTCCTCACCTGGCCTTGGCCCCCTGTTCCTCTAGCAGTGAGCTCGACCACTGTCAAACCAGGCAAGCGCCGTTCTCTGCTGCAACAGTGCAATTGCAATGGAGTTATTTAAAATAGTGGCATTTTTAAAATGAGTTTTGGGTGCAGAGCTATTCTCTGGTACAGCTCAGCTTTGCCTTTTCTCCCCTCGTAGGGCCATTCTTGTCCTGAAAGACAACGTTGTGCCCATGAGCAGCGAGTTCACACCTGAGACAGAGAGGCAGCGAATCCAGCACTTGGTGAGTGACCCCTTCCATGCATCACACAATCCAGCAAGCAACCCACTGGGTCACAGGGGGTGCTTGTGGCAAGAGGACCACCAGCTTTCCTTGAAGGCCACTGTGTGGCCAGAATGTCAGCTGGCACTAGCCAGAGGGCTGGGGGTGAGATTCAGCCAACAGTCTTCAGTATGGGAGATGCTTATGCCCTCATTGGAATGTGCTTTCCCAATTCTGTTCTCCATTCTGCTGCTGCGAGTGCCAGCCCTGAGGCAGAAGCAGCTTTGGTGCCCTACTGTGCTGAAGCAGAATCAGTCCATCCTCACACCTTCTTTCCCTCCTCCAGGCTTTTCTTTTCCCAAAGCTCCTGGATGGAGAGTTCACACGCTTTGAGTTTCCACGGAGGTTGAAGGGAGATGACGTGGGCCAGAAAGTCCTGTACCGGGATTACTTCATGGAGGGCTGGTGAGTCCTTTCTGCCTGAGGATAAGGCTGTGCCTCAGGGCACCTTTACCTGCTCGTAGGAGTGGGGAGGTGAAGGGAGAAGTGGCGTCTCCTCCTGCTGAGAGCTGGGCTTGATGGTGGTGAAGGACACTGTGAGCAGCTCCCTCCGACTGAAGGACCGGGGCCTTGGCAGGGTGGTGAGAAAACAGTTGAGATGGTCCTTCTGGGATCCACTGAGGTGGGGCTGGTGCAGGTTGGGGAGATAGGACAGAGTGAAAAACACCTGGGCATTCAGCAAGAGGTCACCTTCACTGCATCTGCTGCAGCAAGTCACACTGCCCCTTCCTCAGTGAGCTGCCTGTGCGTGGGGACTCCAAAAGGGTTGAATCACAGTTGAAATGCTCTGGCTGGGTTGTACCATCAAGTCAAACAAATTAACAGTGAATTCTCTGTTCTAGGGGATACAAGACGGTGGAGAAAGCTGACCTCAAGTATCCTCTTGTCCATGGCCATGGGAAGCAGGTAGCTTAATGCTTTACACACTGGGAAGG